CAAAACAAAGTGACTCCAAAAGTAGACGTTAAAGTAGCATTTTGTAGGAATGCATGGAGAGTTTAGTCTTTTTCCACAAATTGGTTGCTTTCTTTTAGGCCAAATACCTAGCATCTCAGGCTACTTTAAGACCACTTTTGGCTACCTCCCAAAATCAATCTCTTCGGTGCTAAGTATTGTACCTGTGACATCCTACAAACTTGATTCTTCCCTGTGGTCAGATGTTTGTTTAATGTTTTCAGCCAAAAATATTAAATGCCTTTTGGGAAAACTAAAGCCTGAATATGTGCACATTTCAGCAGCAGCCACGGGTTGAGTAATAAATAAGAATATTACATCTTGGAATTAAATGCAGTTTCCGTTTAGAGAGAAAAACAAAACAAGACATGAAGAGGACGTTCTGAGTTTATCATAAATCAACTATTTTACACTGCTTCTGTCCCCTCCCCCCTCCCCAAATATTTGTTCATTCCAAATGTTAGACTTGGTTTTTCCTTAATGCACATCAGCAGGAGGGTTCTGCTACCCGCTCAAACCTGGACCACAGAAGGGCCACGTGTGTTCGTGGCAACACGTCATGCACTTCTACTGGAAAACAGCTTTCACTCGACAGGGACATACTTTTATTTTCCATAAAGAACGTGCATCAGAGCAAAACAAAGTCGGAATACTCAATTTTAAAATTAGTTACATAAATCCCAACGCATTTTTTTAACTGTCACTTTCCATGTCCCAACATAACGCTACAAAGTGTTATATGTGGTATGAGAATTTGTTATAAATTCCTTTTTCTTAAATATTGCTTTAAGAATTTGGCTCTTTTCTCCTAGTATATAGTAAGAAATAGTCTTCCTTGCCCAAGGGCAAGTTCCAAAATTATTGCTACTAAAGAAATATGTATTCTTACGCTTTTCAGCATAAAATGTTATAAAAGCCTCGTAAAAGATATTCTATATAGTAACCTCCCCTCTAAAAAAATTGAGCGCTTGTGAAGACCATTTTTAAAAACAAAACACAGTCAACAAGTAAAATATTTTCCCCCTCATTGTCATTACGGATGAAGATTTATTAGTTTCGTTTTGCAAGTTTTACTTGAAGGATTCTATTACCATGTATTAGGACGGTTCACACCGAAAGCAATTTTCTATAAAAGATCTTACAGTGACCCCCCTGGTACTCGTATCATTTCATGTTTGATAGCCAAGTGCACGAATAAAATTCTCCAAGAATTATCCTTGTTTAATCTGACTCTTGTCCCTTTAAAAAAAAAAAAAAAATCTGTTCTTTGTAGGCTTTCTTTTTTTTTCCCCCCGTTTTTGAGGATCTAAATCAGTACAATGTTTGATGTTAGACCTGTTGTCCTGGAGATCAACTAAAACAAAAGCAGAGTTATTGTTTAGCTTTGGTATGTTCTGCAATAGATTTAAACACGTAGGATATATACCAACCCTTATATCTTCCAACCGTGAAGTTACAATGATGGAATAAGTCACTTAATGAGAGAGGAAATATTACAGACACAGAATAAAAGTTTGAGACCCAGTTTTTCTTTAATCCTCTGGGATAAGCTATGAAACAAGCAGTCTGAAGAGTGAATACTCAGTGTCATGAATGATGTGCATAAGTTTACAATAATACGGGCACAAAAGAGATTGTCGCCTTTAGTACATTAGGGTCATTAGAATTTCTCACATCCATGCACCGTTATTTACTTGCATGAATTTACCACAGGTTCGTAGCGGACTTTGCCATTTAATGCTTACAGAGCCTAAAGCTTCCAAAATGCCTATCTGGCCTGTACATATTTCATTAAAAATAAACTCTATATAATAAATAAATATATAAAATAAATAAAATGTTGCCTTTGGAATTTCTATAAATAAATTTAACTTTTTTTTTGTTTTGTTTTGTATTTGTTTTTTTGTTTTTTTGTTTTTTGCCTAAGAGGTCTTTGCTTTCGATTCACTGGGATGGCACCAGCGAGCATTAACTGAAAAAGTCTCTGAAGTAAGACTGCACCCTCCACACCTCTGAAAACGCAGCGTGCCCTTGCGAAGGCCACCAGCCCCAATCCTGATGAGTCGAAGTATGGCTGTGCGGATACAGGATGAAGTACAACTGATCAAAAATGTAAAAGCGCGTCTAAATCCCAGCATGCATCAGGCCGTTGTCCTCTCTGCCTCTCTCTTTAATTCCCCCTGCTACTCATCCACGCACACACTCGCACCCCCGCTCAGTCTCCCTCTCCTCCTCGCACAAGAAATCGAGCAAGTGGGCAGCGGCCGGCCTCCGGGAGGACCAGCCTGTAAGTGCAGAACAGAATCAGCATGTTCCCGTCCAAGCCTCCATCGGACATCATGCATGCGGCAAAGTTTGGCAACAGTGGAGCTGGGGTGACCCCCCAGCTAATCGAGAAGAACCCACCGCGTGAAACCTTTATAGTGGTTACTTTTTTTAAGGGCTCAAGTGAAGAAATTGTCTTTGTCAACTTTGGCTTAGAATATCCTTATATAGTTCCGGTACTTTGTCGGGGTCCACTGGTCTGGGTAAAAAATGTGTGAATTTCTGGTGCCGTTTAGTCCTGGTTCCTTCTCTGGGGGTCCCGTCTTTGTTTAACGCAACGTAGTATCGCCTTCCAGTGTCCACGTGTTTATAGAGATTCGAAGAGTAGGTGTTATACCAGTTTTCTTCAAACTGTTCTCTGAATACACACTCTTGGGTTAGTTTTTCCTGTTCAAACAAACACACAAACAACAAGTGAGTCTTTTTTGCAAAACAGCTGCTTTCTGCATTTGAAGCAATGTTCAACTGCTACGCGATATAACTCTGAAGAGAAAATACTGACTTTAGCCCATTTTGACCATCGGGACACAGGTAGTTAGAGTAGAACTCTAACTACGTTCTAATTGTTCCTCACGGTGAGTAAGGAGAGTGAGTAAAGTGTGAAAGATCGCAAATGTTTTCTCCTTAGATTTTTTCATATGCCAAATGATTTCAAGGAGTCTAACAGGCAAAGGACAATCAAGGCTGTGAGTTGTTCCCATTTTTATCACAGCAAGTAGGATGCGGACCGTCATGGCGGGGAGAGCCTCAGCTGAAGCCAAAAGTTCACATAACTGCTCGACCTTTACTGTGTTTTATAAAGCACTCGCCGTGTAGACCAACCTTCTGGACAACCGCAATAGTGCTCGTTTATTACTCTGTAAGAGTGCCTCTCAAACTTCAGGCTTACAGAGGAATCACCTGGGATGCTTCTTTAAAATGCAAATTTCCAATCCCCAATCCTTTAAAATTCGGATCCAGAAAGTCTGGAAATAGGCATTTTTAACAGGCCCTCGGGGCAGTTCTGATGCAGTTAATTCCCAGTCCGCCTTTTAAGACAGAAGGCTTTCGGTGTGACTTGAGTCTTCCTGAATACAAAGAAGTGGAAACAAATGTTGAAGCCCTCCCACCTCCTGGAACTCAGAAGACCCTCCCCGCGCACACCCAGCTTAAAAAGCCACGTTCTCGGGCACACGGCTACCAAGAGAAAAGCTGACACTCCTGCGTTCCCGGAGCCGAAAGCGTCCGCGTTTTCACAAATGTGCTGCACCCCTGCCTTCACCTGAGATTTAGGAGACTCTAGGCCCCGTTTCACCCCACAACCCGGGGCTCCTGCAGGGTCCTCCACGTGTCTCGTGGGCAGCAGCCGTGACCCGAAACAAGGGACGCGTCACTCCCCCAAACCGTGAGCAC